TGAGTGGAAGAATCCCACCATTATCTCCCTTCAATGTCTCACACGGAGACTTCCAATCCAGCACTCTCGAGGGCATTCTGTTGATCAGCGCTGCTGCGGTCAACACTGCTTGCCCCCACAATGTTTCTGGGACATTCATAGAGATCATCATGCTTCTAGCAACCTCTAAAAGATGTCTGTTCTTCCTTTCCGCTACCCCATTCTGAGCTGGTGTGTATGGACAGGTCGTCTGGTGATGTATTCCCTGAGCTGACAAATATTCTTCAAACGCTCTGTTGGTATACTCTGTCTCATTATCCGACCTCAATATCTTCACCACTGCTCCGTATTGAGTCTGAACATTCCTATGAAAGTTTTGGAAGCACCCAAACACTTCACTCTTATTCTTCATCAAGTATAACCAAGTCACACGAGAGAAACAATCAATAAATGTAACAAAATACTTGTATCCATTCATAGAACTTGTGGAACAAGGCCCTCAAACATCTGAATGTACCAAGTCAAATACACGAGAACTTCTATGACCTGAACTAACATAAGATCTTCTAGTAAGCTTTCCAAACTCACATGCATCACACACAAGTTTCTGTTTATTTGCTTTCTCAAATAAAGAAGGATACAATCTACCTAAAACACTAAAGGATGAGTGTCCAACGTCTGATGATGAAGCATTAACTCATTCTCAGTACTCATATTAGATCCTACTCTGCTTCCTCTACTATGACACCAACGCTGAATCCAGCCCTTCACGATCCAGATCACAGTCCACTACGCTATGTGCCAGTCCCAAGTCTCCGTCCTGTCCCTTCTCCTGAAAAATCACCTTGGGAATATAAAGAAACAATGCATTTTAGTTGGGAAGGATGATGAGAATTAATGGACAAAAGATTTACTGAAATGAAGGAGTGCAAAAACATTGGACAAGTTACAGAACCAGTACAATCGACTGTACCTTACCAACTAACCGCTGAAATGTACCATCAGCTGTTTGAATACTATCAGGTGATGCTAAGTGAGTATATGATAAAACTCACTAGCATTACCTGTCACATGCGAGACGCACCGGAGTCGACTATCATTCTGATGATCTGTTGGGAGACAGAAACAAGAGCATGTATGTCATCAGTACCTTTGGTCGGATGAGCATAGGTGCAGTATTGTCTCTGGCGGAAGAACGAAGTGGATGCCTCCTCAGTCCACTCCTCAAGTCTCCATCCCCTGCTACTTGCTGCTTCTCCCTGAGTATCGGCGAGAGCACGATCCTCCTCAGTAAAGACCAGCCTCAGCTTCTTCTTCTTCTGCCTACCGTCAGATCGCCCGATTTCCTGCTCTCTTCACCTCGTCGACCTCACGGCCCACGACACGACCTCCGAATTGTCCACGTCCACCCGAATCTCCTTCCTTGGCTGTCTTGGTGCAAGCGTGCCTTAGATGACCTACTGCACCGCAGTTGTAGCACTACCGAGTCTCTCCCCTGGATCCAGTGTTGCTAGAGGCTGCCAGTGCTGACTTCACCACAGGAAGTCCACCTGTCCCCGCCTGCAGCCGAATGCGAGTCTCCTCCTGGATCATAGCAGAGACAGCCTCCTCAAACGTGAGAATTTTCGGCTGAGCTAGCAGTAATGCAATTCGCTGAGCGAACTCTGATGTCAATCCCTTGAGAAACACCATAGTCCTCTCCTGTAGAAAGGCCTCCCGCTCTTTACATCCCGGGTCCTTGCAGCTAGCCCGGGGGGAAAAATGATCATAGTCTAGCCACAGACGCTCTAGCTCTGTAGCATATTCCTGTACAGTCCGCTCTCCCTGGACTGTGGCGTCGATCTCTCCTTTAATCTGGAACACCCTCAGGTTATTCCTCACCCCATCATATGTTCTCCTCAACTTCTCCCAGACGTCATTCACCTTCTCAATGCCATCCACCGTGACGGCGATCGTCGGGACCAACGAGTTGAGAAGCCAGATGTACACCAACATATGAGTGGACTTCCACTCATCTCGTCCTCCCGAGTCCTCATCCGGTTCTGTCTTCTCTCCGGTCAAGTAACCCTCCAGGTTCCTCCCTGCAAGGGTGTATCTCACCCGTCGTGACCAACTCAGGTAGGTACTCGGTCCATCAAGCTTCAGATCGATGGTCGAAAGCTCCAACTTCTTCGATGGTCTTGTCGAGCTTTCATCAGCCGACAACTTCATCAACTTCATCAAAGTTGACACCTCCGCAGGGTTCAACTTCTTGATGATCTCCTCCATCGATCAAGCTTCAGATCCAACACCTGTTCACCTTTCTCTTCAAACCCTTGTTGTGCGCAGTGAAAATTTCGGCAACACTTCTGTTGTACAACAAGAGTAAGATCTCCAACAAATTCTCGTTTCTCAGAGGAAACTAGAATAAAAAAACAGTGATATATCTCATCGTTGTGAGATATATACTCTTCCTGTCATCAGTTCGAGGACTGAGTCGAGGGAACCCATGCCAAACTCGAGGTCCGGCATAGCGCAGCAAGGGGCTGATCGAAGGGGCTGTTCGGGGGCTGGTCAAAAAAAAGGGGGGCTGTTCGGGGTTGGTTCGTCGAGGTTTAAGGAGGTCGGAGGGGCTGATCGGAGGGGCTGGTCGGCGGGAACAGAGGTGGGCTGATTGTGGACAGGGGGTCGCCGAACAGGGGTTGGAACAGGGAGGAGGGGGTGTGGCTGCAGTGGTCGGAACAAGGGGGCTGCTCTGCAGGAGGCGGAAAAGGGGGGCTGGTCTGCAGTGTGCGTCGGAACAAGGGGGGCTGCTCTGCAGGAGGCGGAAAGGAGGGGGGCTGCTCTGCAGGAGGCGGAAGGGGGTGGGTTTGGCCGGCTAGGGTTTAGCTCTGATACCAAGTTGAATTGAAACCCTAATTCATTATGAGACTCTTTGGGCTTTATATAGCCCTACACACTTACAAATAAGTCCCTAACTAATACTAAATATGTCAACAACATGTCAACAATATATATATATATATATATATATATATATATATGTGTGTGTGTGTGTGTGTGTACACATATACAGAGAGAGAGAGACACACACACCCGCATGCATACATATGAGGAAAATGGGTATCCTCATATAGGGTGCCCAAATTTCAGAGAAATGGTACCAGTGGCCAGAAATCCATTGAAGTGGAATTAGGTGTACGGAATAAAGACTAATCAAGATGCAAAAGTTGAGAAATATAAGCACAACTGGTAGAAAAGGTACATAGCCAACAAAAAGCAATTGATTGTGAAATATTTACACTAACTTATCACAGCACTGGCAGCGCACAACAGGCTGACGATCCACCAGATGAAAATGAAGTCCTACCCCAATGGTTGTATAGAAGAGAAAGTTTACATATAATGATCCACCAGATGAAAAAGAAGTCCTACCCCAATGGTTGTATAGAAGAGTGTTTACATATAATGATCACCTGGCTATGCGTAAAATGGGTAAAAATAGATAAAATGTACAAGCTAAAGATGCATAAGGTCTGAAGCAAGCACTAGCATGGAAGACAGGGATGATGCATACTGCATACTTTAAAGAAAGGGTTTCAACTTTCAACAATCCATAGAATATTATCTATGCACAAAGGGATAATGCCATGACAAGTGCACCTCGATGTTTGCATTGACGCATCCTCCAGACTAAAACCTTGAGTTAGCATCAAAAGCAGAGAAGGAGAAGAAAAGGTAATCATGACAAAGAGCTTGTGTTATTTCTAGCCTTACAGTTAGAAAGGTCGAGACCAAGTTTTCTTCCTCTATTTTCTAATAGTAGGAAGATGATAGGAGCCAAACAAGCCAATGGATTTGCACAGTAAGTTGGCATCTATAACAACTGCCAGTTTACATAGATAATGAATCTGTCAATTCTCCTTGTGTCGAGATGTTGTTGTTAAGGTCAATGAATCTTCATGGATGAGATTTCAGTTATTGAAATCCGAGAATGTTAGAGAAGGTCATTACTTGAAATCTTAAAGGGGCTACCTCAGACGAGAAACTGGAGGTGATCATATATTCGTATATCAGGTGAGATCAGTTGTAACTTAAACATTGCAACTGTTGAGAGAGTTGTTTACTCATTTGTTGTTTAGTCCCACATTGGTTAGGGACAAGTCTCTTTGTATTTATTCATTTGATTACTCATTTGTTATTCACCATGAATAGTACCGTGATAACTGCTGCTGTGAACAGCACCGTCGTTACTGTTCACTGTGAACATTGCTTTTCCTTGTTCGCTCACTTTTGACTGACTTGTTGCTGATCAAGATTGTTATTATTGATGACAATAGTCATCCCCAATATACATGTTCTCGCTGTCACCTACGTCACCCCGGTGTGCTTTCATACATACCGCTAGGTTGATCCGCTGAAGAGGATCATTTATTTGTTAGATCCCTAAAGAAAGATCATTTGTTGTTAGATCCTTAAAGAAAGATTAGATCCCTAAAAGGATCGTTTGTTTGGTGGATCTCAGAGAGGATCATTTGTTGATGGATCACTGAAGAGGATTATTTGTTTAGTGGATCCCAACGATAATCGTTTGATTGGTGGAAACCTTGAGGGGATCAGCTGACATCTAAGTGAAAGATGCTTTGAGTTTTTGAAGCCTCGTCACAGATTAGAGCGTGTGCACTTAATTTGTAACAAGTTGAACATATATAATATATGCTCCGCTTGAGGGGAGTGTTGAGAGTTGTTTCTTTATGTATGTTTAGTCCCACATTGGTTAGGAACAAGTCTCTTTGTATTTATAATATTACAAATAACATCCAAGAGCGGGAACTAAGCATCCTCTCTGATTACTATTTTCAACAGCAACTGATAATAGGAGTAGGTTACAAAATACATCATCGAGCAAAATATAATTGACCAGTTTATGTACCTTTTTCTAGGAAATTTCATATCTACCATATAATATCAACAATTGTAAAACTAAAAAAATGAGAATTTAATCTAGAATATAAAGCATATAAAAAATGGAAACATGAAACCTGAAACTCTATAGGCATTGTCGTTCTCTTCGATGTCAGATGTTCATCACACTACATCAACAAAGAAATGTGAGTTGCACATATAAGAATAATAATGTAGTTATTTTTCAACAATATCCAATATTCAAAGATATTGTAAAGGATGCATAGAATGAAATTTGTTTTACGTTTGGCGCAAGAATTTACACATATACTCCAGCAATCTACATTTTATCAAATGCCAAGATCCTAAAGTGAACAACAGGACCAAACAAAGCCACTTAAAAGCACCAGTTGATAATTATTTCACGCATAAGTTAACACCTTTTGAAACCAAAATTTTTTCCTAACTAGATGTATCTTCCTCTTATGATCAATTTGCAGAAGTGCTTCAGCTACTATCCATCAAAACTCTTTAAAATAACGCACCTGCTCACCTCAAGCAAATACAGTTGAAGCAAAAATGTATGAATAACAAACAAATGATCTCAAGAACATTTTTCATCAGATCAATGACAGGGCCACACAGTGGCTGAGCCAGGAATTTCAATAAGGAGGGTCTAAAAAATTAATAATTGAACGTGACAAAAAATAAGTTTATTTTTTAGGATTGATTAGTACATAAGCATCATTACATAACAAGGTTTTCAAATCAAATTTCAATTAGAATGTAGCGTTTTACAATAACATTCTTCTTGCTTTTATTTCTTAAAAGGGAGTTTTATATATTTTATCCTCCAAATCTGCCGTATTTCTAAATTTACTCTCAAACTTTTATATTTTTTTAAAAACACCGCCAAATCTCAAGTTTGAGATAAATCTAACCCTGATTTCTAATGGCGTCAGATTAGTAAATGTAGATGGGTGGTTTTTCGGATATAACTACAGTATATACAAGGGTCATTAAAGAACAGATCAAAGACATTATTATTAAACCAAACACATAAGCTTCAATTAAGTTGGAACCAAGCTTCAATTAAGTTGGAACCAAACTTCAAATCAAACCAAAACTTCAAGTCCATCCTTTCATTTCTGGTACCATAGTTGATCAAGTTCATATGTATGGATTTGCAGGCAAGAATGGTTGCTCTTCTCGCATGTTTCATTGATACTATCTTGTACTTGTACAAGTGTTTAATAGAAGATAACACAGTTTAGTAATCACATAATGCATGATTTTGGATAATAAAAGTATTCAGTATTCCCAACTCATGTCTAGATTAGAGATAGATGAACTTACACTTTACCCCCACAATACTTTTTCATATTTGTTAACTACCTATTATCCTAATATTCAGCCCTATACTGGCTCCGTCCCTGGGGGCATACTCCTTCAGATACTAGCACCACATAATATGTGTTTTTCAGCGGTAATATGAGTATGAAAGATTATAATCTTATGCTTGTGCATCGATATAGATTTCAAAGTTACTTGCAGAAGAATAAGCAACTTTTAAAATTTTAGAATAAATAATTAACCAACTTGCAGTTGCAAACCCTCCAGTTGCAAGCTACTGAACAGTCATAGGTGCCAATTCTCTTAATATTCTACATTCTTAATGCAATTTATGCACATAACAATTAATATTTTTTGCCAATATGGTGCTACTCCGCCTGGTAAATACAATTTTTTTTAAAAAGCTGATAAATGCAAAGCTGGTACAAGAAATTTACATGCAATATATTGTACAATCCACTGACCACGCTAGTTATAATGTATTACTTGTTATCATGCTCCCACCTTGCTTGCAACAATTCAGTTCCTACTTCCCTTTGCATTAAATCCTAATATTTTAACAACAACTGATTGGGTTATTTAAGCTTGACTGAGTGGTACAAAGATTAACTATACATAGAACTCCATAATAATACAGGAGCAACAGCTCAAAGATAAAACCTGAATATATGGAAAGTATACATCCTTCAACCAATATCGAAGCTTAAATGTCTCCATGCACCTCAGTTTTAAATTATGAATCTCCACCTGTTATAATAACCAAACAAACTTAAGCAGGTTAACCAATATACAAAATGAAATAAATTTTAGAACAAGAAAAATGAGGACGATAGATTAGATATGCGTCTAATCTACATCATCTAACAACATCAGAACAGGGCATAGTGACGATATGTTGTAGATTATTTCAAAAATCGAGCACAAACGTGATAGCAAATCCATGTATCATAAAATTCGTTACTAAATCAGAAACTACAAGTGACAATGAGACTGAAACTAAATTAAGCTCATGAAGGGCTCATGAAGACCAATCTGAGGCAGTGTTTTATGGCACTTTAATCAGAATCATAAAGAATCAAAACGTGTGGAGAAAAGAAAAGTATTGCTAATTGTAGCTGCCACAGCTCACCCGTGCTTCTCAAAAGGGAAATGCACAAGCAGCTAACAGTGACAGGTTATGGAGAGAGGACAAAGCTATCATATAGCTACCATCACCTTATATAACAACTGAAACATACTAGCCATGAATGTCAAATGTTGACTCTCCCTACAGATTTTCTCATAAACGTGTGTGTGGTTCCTCTGGCTTGGCTCATTGACTTTTAAAATAAAAAACTAAGCAGCACTTCCACCAAAATAGCCCAAAATAGGTATTGTCCACTGAGCTCCACTTTAACCCCCCCCCCACCCCCCCCCCCCCCGGATCAGGAGTAATTCTTCCATTTTCTTAATTAAGAATAGTTAGTTCTTTAAACTGGCAAGATGCAGACCCATATTCATGCCCATATGTTGGGGTGCCCTCACGTACAATAATATGCATTCATGAAGTTTCATTGTGCCCACATTTAGCATCAATTGCGCACGCCAACAAGTCATAGTACACGAGCGTGTGACATAGGGACACAGACAACACACAAAGTAAGAGTGAAATCATGTCAACAAATTAGAAAATAAGCAGAATACAAACAGATCAAGATAAAGCTATGGATCATCCAACATTTTTTTTAAATAAACGTGCAACAACAACTAATACCAGGAGGAGTAACAAATATATACACTGATTGAAGCAAATCTAAGAAACAACATTTAAAGAATGGTTTCAAGAGTTCGTCGCCATAGATGCAATACATATGACTACGAAATAGCATCTCAAATTCTCAATCTTCAGTATAGTAATCAAGAGAGATGTCTATATTATAATTTTCGTTCTATCGGAACTGCAGAAGAACTATAGATAATACAAATGAAAATTGACAATTTAATCAAGAAGAAACAGCAAAAGCCCGTGTTTAATATTACCTTTGTAAAGCTTCCATGAGGCGATAATTGGATTTCTTCATCTAAAGGATCTCTTATTCCTCCATCAGCCTACAATAATATAACAGTGAAACAAAAGTAATTTATGGGCGACTTGAGTATGATATGCTATGATATAGATGACTGTAAGAGATTAAACCACATCCAACGCTCAAGAAAACAAATCACCCTCCAAATGCACTTATCAGCTGATCTTTTCATGAGTGCCTCCCTTGAAAGATGAAGAGTATATACTTTCTTCGACTCTTTAGTTTTAGAAGACACTATCGCATGCCTGTAACATTTACCATGTCGGTACATGGGAAAAGGAATGAAACTCAGGATAAAATGCTTATATACAATAAAAATCAGGCATGTTTAATGAGTTCAAACCTTCCTAGGTGCATTGAAGCAATTGGTCCTCCATAACCAAACATGCCAAAGAAAGGCTGCAACATACAGATACAAATGCCAATAAAAAGAAAATTGTGGGTATACTATCAGTAATAGTAATGAACTACCATCATCTAATTCCTATGAATAAAATTCAGAATTATGCACGGCAGCGAGTTAGAAGCAGTTAAATCATTAGATAAATTGTCCCTTCTAAGTAATGCCACAAGCTAACAGATATCTTTTAAAGTCACCAATAATAGTGTGCATGATTAATATAATGTTCGCCATACATATGTGGACAAATGTGACGCATATTGCTAAACAAAGAAGGGAGTCATTTGCATGAATAAGTCAAAAGCATATTTGGTTTTTCCATCCATAGGCAAAAGCAAACCAGAAAAGGGAGCCAACTCTTAAGTTAAAACACATGTAAACGCACCCTCAATTGTCTTCATATGTTACAACAAGTCCCATCTTCTCACTAATCCAATCATTTCTAATTTCATAAGAATAGTATGAGAAGTATGGAATGCACATGACCTTTGGGGGCATAAAAAGTCGCTCTTCAATATAAAGTGTACTGGTGAAATGTCATCAATATTGGATTTGAAATCGTACGGTCGAAATAATTAAGTGAAACAAATACATTCTCATATGTTCTGCCACATTCCCTGACATGACGGTTGATAGTCATATCCGAGACATAGGTATCAAAACAAGAATGTCTCTGATGCAGTTGCAGCTCCATAGTCATATCAGAGACATAGGAATCAAAACAAGATTGTCTCTGATGCAGTTGCAGCTCCATAGTCATATCCGGAACAAAGAAATAAAAACATAGGAAGACAGAATTATAGTGGAGAGGAAGTTTGAAAGAAGAGCCATTATGGCAAAAACATAATATAGCAAGTTGTCCATAATGACAACAAATAATTATAGAAACATAAGAATGTTTATAAAAATGGAGAATAACAGAGTTTCTGTAATTGAGAGATGGGCACTATACAGAAAGCACAATCTAAGACATGTTGGTGAATGAGTTTGTTTGTGTGGCACAAATACATAAGGAAAGAGAAAGAAAGGGAGAAAATGAGAACTCCCTAAGAAAAAGTTTGTATTTCTTTAGGTGAGCGGTGCTAAAAGAGAAAAGGAGCTCATAATTGTTATAACACATGAAACTCCAATCAGAATAAGTGTACAGAACTTTGTGCAGGAAATTACAAATGGATATCATAATAAAAGAATAGTCTAGAATACAGGAGATGTGCAGGCTCAGTAAAACACCACATGTACACGCACACGGCACACGGCACAAACACAGAGACGCACGCGCGCAGAGAGAGAGAGAGGAACAGACATGAAACGAAAGAATGCAGCATGCACGTATATAAAAAGAGATGGAAAGAGGGATATACTGATGAACTAGAGACAAATTCCAACTCTTCCAGATTACACAGTCCGCAATTGAAAAATCTACAGAGGAAATTGGAAAACAGAACTGCAAACAATAACATATTCAAATACCATTAGAATAAAGGACAAATTTTTAAAAGCAACTGTTTTTAATATTTAAATACCAAAAACGACCCTTTGGGGAAAAAAATTAGCAAAACCGACCCTTTTCTTCATAAAAGGGTCGGTTTTGCTGTTATTGTGATTTAGCGAAGTGTACGGGACTACTAGTCTCGTACACTTCATTTCTGTTATCGTGAGGAAAATAGAAATGAAGTGTACGGGACTACTAGTCTCGTACACTTCGCTAAATCACAACAACTGCAAAACCGACCCTTTTCTTCAGAAAATGGTCGGTTTTGCTAAAAAAAATTCAAATTGTTGTTTTTGATATTTAATTATTAAAAGTGGGTGCTTTTAAAAATTTGTCCTAGAATAAAAGCAAGTTGGAACTTCATGTAGGCAACTAAATGGACATCCTGGATACCACGTCTGTTATTGAGCATTTTATAATACATTAGCTTTTTCCTAAAGGATTATAGGTTATCAAATTACAGTAAAAATATGAAAATTCAAGCATCTATTTACTTTGAAACTCTGAAGATTTAAATCATACCCAAGTCTTAAGATAATAGGATAGTTTACAAAAGAAGAAAAATGGTTTAGCTTCGGGATATATAACATCAAGATATCCAATCATCTAGCAGGCAATGCCTCACCGGCTCACCAGATATAGAAAAATCTTGTACAGAAAGCCATATAAAATATATTGAGTTGAAAATGGAAAAGCTTACAGTTAGATATGGGGCTTTCCCACCAATTGCAATTTTCCTTGAGGACCTATGATTCGATGAGCCCATCTTTCCCCTATATGAAAGTGAAACTGATAAGCAGCCAAAATAGATAAAATCTCTTAAGTACTATAAAAATACTAAAAGAAAAAAAGGGTATTGGAAAATGTTATAGTTATTGGAGATACCAGTTTGTTGACTATCACAACCACCATCATGAAGAGAAACAAGTCATCATAAAATGAAAAAGGCTAATAACATGTCCCACGGGAGCAAGACAAGGTTTGGGTTTGTAACCTTATGATCCGCAATTAGAAACAGACAGATCACACTACCAGTAGAGTTGAGAAAGAACTAAGAAAAATGACCAACAACTACCATTTGAAATTAAAAATCGATCAATCCAAATGCAGTACAATGATGACTCAACGCGACACTCTTTTAGTAAATCACATTCATATTTGCTCAGTCACAGCGACAATCTTTTAGTAAATCACATTCATATTTCCTCTGTCAACGCGACAATTTTTAGTAAATCACATTCATATTTCCTCAATCAGAGAGAGAAAATTTTGTTAATTAATTAATTGTATGAATAAATTGGTAAAGGAAGATGGAAGCATGGAAGTGTACATAGTAGTTCAAATTTCTTAATGATGAAATACTGCAGGAGAATGTTGTATATCAAAATAAGATCATAAAAGTGAACAGTTGCTATGATCAAACTTACATTAGTAACAAGTATATATAATCATTGTTTATGCACGCTAAGTTAAACTCCAGAAAACAATTGAGAGGAACATACCCAGATAGACGATCAGCATCCTGCCGCTTAATAATTAAAGATGTACTCAAAGATGAAGAATATTTTCTTTATGAAAAAATAGCCTAAAAATTTAAACTGTTTATACTTAACAGTTAGTTTTGTAGGAATGCTTTAAACATTGTGCACTAGTATACCATTTTGTTATAGAATTCTCATCACTGCCATCCATTCCAGGGCCACTATCGAAGATAACAACCTTCCGTTCCTCAAGCGTCACACTGTACAAAGAATAGTTGAGCGGAATCAGTAAACACGCAACAAGACTTTAACAACAAAGAAAAAACCTTTAGACCTAAATCTTTGAGGAATTGTAACTAGACATTTCATAGATTAGACTACTAAATTACTAATGAAGAACAGAAAATTCAGTTCGTATTGATTGCAGTTGATAATTAACACACAAAAAACATGATGAAAATTCTAAGATATAATTATAAAAGAACTCCAATAACCTGTCAATTTTTTAGCTGATTTGACAATGGGTAATGCATGTTAGATTGTACTTCTTAGTGGAAACTTAAGCTATCAATAGATTCAGAAAAGCGGTAGTATGTTTCAAGGGGCATGCGCTCTCCCTCTTCCTCCCCCTCACATTTCCTCATTTATACGTATGTTAGCCTTCTGGAAATAGTGATAGGCAGTGTGCCTTAACAGGGCTCAAAAATAATATGTTCTACTTGGTATTTGTGCGAGTTTCCAAATGAAAAAATTAAGGCTTTGAACTATTAAGGAAAAAATTAAAAAAAAAAGTAATAGCAGGGGTCCATTAATGTAAACACACAATTAAAACCTATTGACAAATAATTTCTTCATGGTCCTTCATGAAACAGAAACAAGTTCTAGCTAGAACCCTCTGACATTCTAGGGAAATCAAGTAGTTGCATGATGCATTTTAAACGTTGACACTTAAATCTTTAATTTTAATGTACTTCAATATTTACATGAATTGAAATTGGTTAGTAAATGTGTGAATTCCAATTAATGGATTTCTCAAAGACATGCATTAGTACATGAGTAGGAAGAGCAAATTTAAGAATCCTAATGTATCCAACATAGTGGCAGCTATTGGAAAACCACAACTAAACAAGCAGGGCATATATACATTCCTCTAATCCTAAAATTTCATGAGTTCCCAAATTTTGATTCAAACTCAGGTAGTTCAACATTTACCACTAAGCATGGAACTATGAGGCGAGTCTAAGTACAACTTACAGAACATGCATCACTACCATTTTCTTCATGGTATTATTATCATAGTGCAACACTGCAACATATAAATCACTGAGAAGTTCAATTGCAAAATTTGGGGGTACCATTAAATAAATATGAGCACATAACACTCGATCAAGTCATTCTATTATAAATCAATGATGACAAATACTAAAAATTCCAACAATAACTTCTGCTACCTGACAAGCCTTCGTTCTCCCGGAGAATTTGACCACACTGCTTGCAAGGAATTATCCTAGTAACCCACAAACTCATGAAAATGTTTCACCAAAATAGTAGGATCATAGAGATATTTCTAAATAGAAACACGCCGATAAGTGATAACTCACAATCAAGTCAGCTAGTGCAGTTTCAAAAGTATACTCTGCCGGAAGCTCTTGAAGAAGATCAGTATCCGGTGTCAAATCCCACATATTCTACACAATAATTACAACAACAAAAATTAACATCAATCACATTACAAATCAAAGCAAAAATTGATACTTACATTATAAGTTCCAACAGAAGGTCCTCCACCATCCTAACCAACCAAACAATGCCAAACAAATTATAATAAACTATTTAATGAATAAATAAATAATAATAATAAACAATGAGACCAATTAACATACATGAAGCTTTAGGATATGACATTTATTAGGCTTAAAGCTACTGAAGCAAATCTTCTTCTTCATCTTAGACTCATGCATATCCTCCAAATAAATATCATTATTCCACATTATCTTTCTCCTCGAACCCTGCGAAGATTTCTCGATTTTCTCGACCTCAACTCGAATAGCATGAACAAATTCATGGATGAACATCTCCTCTCCGGGATCGTGCAATGTCAAGCGCGTATTCGCGCCATTTGGGAGCAAAATTTGGAACCTGTAAACTTTATCAGCGTCTTCATCGTTTCCATCGAGAAATTCGACAAGGGCTCTTTTGCAAGAACTTCTTTTAGTTGCCATAACCTTCCTGTTTTGTCAATAAAAAAAAAGTAAACACCTCTACTTAAAAAGGAAAGTGAAATCCATACAGTGAACTACAGAGAAATTGTAAATGAAATCTTCATAAAAGCTTTCATTACTGGAGTTCTTTTTTTTTTTTTTTAACCTGAGAAGCAGAGGGTGCGGTTTACCAAATTCTGAAGTTTTAGAGTGTAGTTCGAAACCACACGTCTCGGTTAGGTTTTCAGCACGGAGAATGGGAAGATGAGAGAGAAACCTGCGATGGCCGGTGGCTGGCGACGTTTTCCGGCGAGCAACGAGAAATGGCGTAGCTCCTCTGTTTTTTCTTTTTCTTTTTCTTTTTTCTTTCTTTTTTTGTGTTTCCTTCCCAAGGAAGGTAAAAGGGTGAAATCTTTAAAAGAGGGGCTCCCCGGATCGCTGAGCTCTTTAATGGCTGATTAGTGATGCTAGTGGACAAAATGAAAAGGGCAAAAGAAAATGATTTTTCAGTTATTTTTTATACTTAATAATTTTGAGGTGTAATGTTCTTGAATGTGGCAGTTCAATGTGAAAAAAAGAACATGTCATCTTAGCATGCAGAACAAGTGATTTGTGAGCATACAAATCAAATATGTGGTCATCTTCTCCAATTCTACTCTACAATACATTAGTGTGCACCTCATGCAAAGCACGATCTCTATTTTTTTATTTCTACTACAGTAATTCCGTATTTAAATACAGTTTTTGTAAGTGCCTCATTAACATTTTTAACTGCTACAGAATCCCGCTGAGCTACAGTGATAATACTATAGTAATATTTTTAAACTCTACAATTCACGCATGTGTTACAATAATAATGCTACAGTGCTTTACTGTAGCATTAATAGAAAATCTTGGATCCTCTTGTTTGTGCTACAGTAACAAATACTACAGTAATTTACTGTAGCATAAATAGTGAATCTTGTATCCTCTCATTATTATAGAGGAATAGATTTATCCGGTTGAGTATTTTGTTTTTTACCAAACTAGTGTGTCGCGTGTTCATTGGAAGTGGCGTACTTGGTTTAATAAATTATTAGTTAATAATATATTTTATATTATTGATTCTTAAATATGTAGTAATAGTATAGTGATTCTCAATATATCATTTACGAAAAGTACAAAGGCCACTAAGATAAAAAAAAATGATATTAAATATCTAGTATGTTGTTGGAGTAGCAAAAAATGTTATTAGATACAAAATTATTATAAAAAGCTATAATAGCAAAATGGAATCACAATCGATATAAAGATATTGTTTAAATAGCTCAGTTCATAGGAATTGTATAGGTTAATTTTTTTAACTCAAATTAAAGAATCTCAGTCAATAGACGAATTAATTGTATCTTACATAAGAAATCAAAAAATTCATGCAATTCAATCAAATATATCATATATAGGTTTGTGCATTCTGATTTACCCAATGAATAGAGGATAGATAGCCAATATATTTTATTAGTTAATTTTTATAGGCTAAAGTTGATATGAACAAAAAACTTATTTGCGATTAATCAAAAAGAAGACAAACAAAGTTTTATGATTCAACGTAATTATTAAGAAAAGAACATAAAAGATGCTTAATAGAGGTAAAAAAAATCAAAGGACAAGGAACATTAAAAGCATTGGAAAAGCACCTCTGAACTTGAAGTGCATATGAACCTAGTAATTAGTTAAGATTTAAACCATGAATATATCTAAGAAACAAGAAAGCAGAACTTATGACCTATGTTCAAAAGGAAAAGCACAACGTATGATAAATACCACAAAATGCTCTTTACAACATTGTGCAAGCGAAAAAATCTTTAAATAGCTTTGCATAAATTCCAAAAATAATATAATACGTTTTTTTTAGTATTAAAAGATCAAATAATAATCTTACCCAATCCACAAAAAAAAAAGATACATACTGAAAACAACATTTGGTTCCCAAGTCAAGTTTATACATACTCTTGGCTTTTCAAATAATATTCTTACCGTAATCTACTATTCTTCTCTTTTTCAAGGATTCAAGAGACAAAAACAAAAATCAAAAGCTACGAATTGAACGTGGGACATAGTCTTCAACTCCATAAAAAATAATCTTTAAGTCTACAAACCATTTGACAAATATTATCCAATGTATGCATGTGCGCGTACATACACAAGCTACGTACACTATAAGCCATTTAACAAACTTTCCATATAATATATTTCAGAAACCATTATGCTGGTGTAGAAATTAGGCTTAGTAGGTGATGTTGTGGGTTGAAGAGAATAGATGGCATGTAGATGAAAAAGAGGTTATGTAGAGGGATAATGAAAGAGTGGTTAGTTAATTGGATCCATAATATATGCATTTAATTAAATAAGCTGTGAAATCATTAAGAACCTAGGAAACTAATTAAATATAGAATATTTAAGAGCCTAAGAAATTAATTAAATCGTATTATTATGATGATTTTTAATTAATTTAATTTTAGACTTGTTAAAAGAGACTTTGAGATAATTAATTAAATAAATAAAATAATTGAAGTAGATGGGTAAAAAGGGTAATTAAAAATTTCAGCACCTCAATCTTCTTTTGTATATAGTATAAGGGGCTGTTTGTTTGTCTAAAAAAAAAGGGAAATCAAAGAATAGGAAATATATTTCTTAGAAATTTTATTTTGAAGTTGTTTGGTTGGAAAAAAAAAGAAGGAAATTAAAGAATAGGAGATGAGATGAGTTGTCGTCATATTATTTGATGATGTGAGTGATTTTTTAAGAAAACTTGTTTTGAGGTTGTTTGGTTGGCTAAAAAAATAAGGAAATGTATTATAAGAAACATATTTCCTATAATAGGTTCTTTTCTTGTGTTTGGTTCATTCTTAAAAATAAGAAAATAGATGAGATGTGATGAGTTGTCATTATATTATTGGATGATGTGACCCACACCTAAGGAAATCAATTTCCTTGTTTTTTTTGAGGAAATGGGTGGAGATGAAAGTTTAAGGAGATGAGATGAGTTATCACGATATTATTGGATGATGTGATTGATTTTTAAATATGAGATGAGATGAGTTGGATGATGTAATGATAAAAATAATATTTTATTAGATGTTGGATGATAAAAGTAATATTTTATTGGATGAGTTAGATGATAAAATAATATTTTATTAGATAAGTTGGATGATAAAATAATATTTTATTGAATGTTGGGGTAAGTTTTAGGAATGAAAATGGTTGAAAATAGGAAATGGGAGATTTCCATGCTCTCATTTCCTATTCTTGGTTTTTAGGAAACCAACCAAACAGCCCCTAAGTAGATAGTAGATAGATAAACATAAATAAATAAAGATAAAACTTTGAATTAAATATTTCATAATGTGTCGGTAATAAACAGAGGGGTATAGCGAGTAGCTTAGCTGCGAGTAGGCCAAAAAAAGCAAGGATTTGTATATCTTCATCCGCCCATTAAATTTGGTCCTTCGTCAAAAAAGCAAGGATTAAACGGCCCAAAAAAGAAAACACTTTTGCCGAGCAAAATTGTTTTTTATACAAAAAAACATAAAGAGAAAAGAAAAAGAGAGGGAAAGTACAAGTGTCATTGTCAAGCCGAAGCTTAAGCCCGAAGTAAGCAACTTTATATATTTATCCAGGTCAAATTTGTATTTTAGCGGAAAAGTTACAATTTTTTGTGATTTAAGTTGGCGGTTGACGCTTTTTTTCCAATTCAAATGTGCGCCTATTTTCATTTAGGGGCCGTTTGTTTGCCTAAAAAAAAGAGGGAAATCAAAGAAAATGAAACATATTTTTAAGAAAAATAGGTTTTGGGATTGTTTGGTTGGCTAAAAAAAGAAGGAAATCAAAGAAATGGAGATGAGTTGCCACCTTATTATAGGATGATGTGAGTGATTTTTTAAGAAAACTTGTTTTGATGTTGTTTGGTTGGCGGAAAAAATAAGGAAATGAATTATAATAAACATATTTCTTGTAATAGGTTGTTTTCTTTTGTTTGGTTGTTTCTTTAAAATAAGAAAATAGATGAGATGAGATGAGTTGTCATTATATTATTGGATGATGTGACTCACACTTAAAGAAATTGTTTTCCTAGCTTTTTGGGAGGAAAACAAATAAATGAAATGTTAATGAGATGAGATGAGTTGTCACAATCTTATTGGATGATGTGAGTGATTTTTAAATATGAGATGATATGAGTTGAGTGATGTTGTGGATGGAAATAATATTTTATTAGATATGGTGGATGTGATGGATGAGTTGTTGGATGAAAATAATATTTTATTAGATATGGTGGATAAGTTGTTGGATAAAAATAATATTTTATTAAATGTTGTGGCTGTGTTTTAGGGATGAAAATGTGTGAAATTGTACTTTTTGAAATTTCTTAGTTTTCATTTCTATTTTTTGGTTTTTAAGGAAATAACCAAACAGGGGTTACTTCCATATTAGTCTCTCAAACCTTCAATACTTCTACATTAGCCTTTCAAATAAGGGAAATTGCTATTAGGTTTCATAAATCAGCAAATTGCTTGCAATTAGGTCCCTCCTATTTAAGTTAATATCTATTTGGTTAACTGAGGTTGAGCTAGGCCTTAATCCCACATGGGCACTTACTGTAATGTTGGTAAAGATTGGGTAGATGTGTCCAAAAAGCCCGCCGGCCCGGGCCCGGCCCGGAGATATAATATATTTTTATATATGTATAATATATCTATTCTTCTATACAAATGGGAGGATCAGAGAATCACTGTTCATAGCACAGTAAATTGAACAGTAATTCTCTCTCCTCCCATTCTCGCTCTTCTCACGCCTATATCCCGTATCAGCTCAAACCCCTCTGTCCCTACCAGCCCAAAATTCAAAATTCAAAACACACCCCTCTCCGTCATAAATCCAGGCCCTCCCACGAGACAACGATCTTTCCCTCTCTGACATAAATCCAGGCCCTAATCTCTCTCCCATTCCGATGCCAACCTTAGACTCCATCTCAAATAGCAACAATCTCTCCTCTTCTCCAAACCTTCTCATCGCCATTTGCCTCTCAAACTCCAATTCCCTCCTGATCTCCTCCTCCATCATTCTATTGTCAGCGATCTCTCTCGCAAGGATCTCCTCTCTCATCCGCTCCCGCCGGAGCTCCTCCATCAGGGCTTCCGCTCTTGACGTCATCACCGGCGGGGCGAAGCCGGAGCTCCAGATGCCGATTCCGGCTAAGATCAGGAACGAAATCACCTGGCAACCCCCTGCAGTAAGTTTTTTAATTTTATTTTCAATTTACAGTATTAAAACAATTTTATAACCGATTTTAAAACAATTTTGTAATCGATTTTAATTCTTCACCTCTTCTCATAACACCGTCGAGCTCCAATCATCGAGCCCTAAAAGCCCATCTCTCTCTTC